ATCCATCAAACACCCACCAACCATTTAACACCAACCACCCACAGAACATCTACCACCCATCAAACACCCACCACCCATCTAACACCCACCAACTATTTCACACCACCCACCCACAGAACACCCATCACCCATCAAACATCCACCCACCTTCTAACATTCGCCATCACTAAAACATCTACCACCCATAGAACACCCATCACGCACAGAAATCTACAGCCCATAGAACACCCATCACGCACAGAACATCTACCGCCCATAGAACGCCCATCACCAATAGAACAACCATTACCCATCTAACACCCATCACCCACAGAAATTCTACCACCCATAGAACAGCCATCACCCATTAAACACCCACCCACCATCTAACCTCGACCACCCATCTAACACCCACCAACCATCTAATACACACCACCCATAGAACATCTACTGCCCATAGAACACCCATCACCCATAGAACACCCATCACCCATAGAATATCTACCACCCGTAGAACACCCAACACCCATAGAACATCTCCCACCCATAGAACACCCAACATCCATCTAACACCCATCACATATCTAACACAGACCACCCACAGAACATCTACTGCCCATAGAACACCCATCACCCATAGAACACCCATTACCCATAGAACATCTACCGCCCATAGAACATCCATCACTCAAAGAACACCCATCACACATCTAACACCCACTACCCATAGAACATCTACCGCCCATAGAACACCCATCACCCACAGAACACCCATCACCCATAGAATATCAACCACCCGTAGAACACCCAACACCTATCTAACACCCACCATCGAAAACCCACTACCCATAGAACACCCAACATCCATCTAACACCCATCACACATCTAACACAGACCACCCACAGAACATCTACCACCCATAGAACACCCATCACCCATAGAACATCTACCACCCATAGAACACCCAACATCCATCTAACACCCATCACACATCTAACACAGACTACCCATAGAACACCCATCATCTATAGAACACCCACTACCCATAAAACATCTACCGCCCATAGAACACCCATCACCCATAGAACACCCATCACCCATCTAACACCCACTACCCATAGAGACATCTACCGCCCATAGAACACCAATCACCCAAAGAACACCCATCACCCATGGAATATCTACCACCCGTAGACAGGACATGGGTTCAATTACTTTGAAATGTAATTAATTAAATTACAATTACTTTGATTTTCCTCAATTACAATTACAAATACAATTACACCTTAAATTAAAATGTAATTAATTAAATTACAATTACATTACCAATGTAATTAATTACAATTACAAATTACTTTGTTAAAGAGACAAAACAAAACAAAACAAATATATTTCTGTATTCCTTTAATCAACAAGATATCGATGTTGGTAAACAGTGGTCACTAACTCCAATTCATATTTTTGTCATCAAAAGTGAAATGCAAAGGATTAGATTATATCTACAATGTACACTATTTAATCAAATTTGTATTTTGCATATTATCAAATACACACCTCTATCATCTCTTGTTGCAAAAAACACTTTGTCCACCACTGTTACCTTAGGTGTACTGTATCATGACATCATTACAGGCCTACATTACAATATATAATCAGCCGGTCTCTCTATCTGACATAATCCACATTAACATACTAAAGGATTTGTCAACTTGGATTTATGGCTTATTACCTTTCATGATTATAAAAATAGGACTACAGTTCAGTAAGATTTTGAATATCATATCCTATGAGAAATAAACAAAGAGGCCATTTTGATAGGAACTTGACTAATAGTACTGTTAATCCCCCAATTCCTCAAATACCAACCTACATCCAGTCATGCGTTACTGATTCCCTTTGTTTCACAAATATGCAGATGGTGATAGTTACAAAGGCTTAGACATTCAAATCTCTTTCAAAACTTAACACCTGCTAGAGTATATACCGACAACAAGCATCTTATTGAAAACACTCCTTAGTCCTCCTTATTGTACAGAATATAATTGCAAGGGTTGCCTGATAACCACCAAAATAAAAAGTGAGATGTAATTTGATGTAATTGAAAAGTAATTGAAAAATTCAATTACATTGAGATTTTAATTAAATAAATTACAATTACAAATTACATTTTAAACATTCAATTACAAATTACATGCAATTACATAGATTTTTGTAATTAATTACAATCAATTACAATTACAAATTACAATTACCCCATGTCTGCCCGTAGAACACCCAAACACCTATCTGACACCCACCATCGAAACTCACTACCCATAGAACACCCAACATCCATCTAACACCCATCACACATCTAACACAGACCACCCACAGAACATCTACCACCCATAGAACACCCATCACCCATAGAACATCTACCACCCATAGAACACCCATCACCCATAGAACATCTGCCAACCATAGAACACCCACCCTCTATCAAACACCCACCACCCATCTAACGCCCACCACCCATAGAACACCCACCACCCATAGAGCATCTAACACCCATCACCCATCAAACACCTTACACCATCCCTCGTCCATCTTCAACATAATCCATCGACCATCCAAACCCAACACCCTTCCTACCTCACCTCCAATCACTGAACAATAAGAGAAACAGTTGGCAGATATCTGCTACATCGTATTTGTTCAACATTCCAGATTCAACGACAAGGCTTTGTGACAGAATGCTCTGGGTACTGAAAACATGCTGTGCTTGCAAGAAACTCTGCACTGTTTACTCACTGAACGGTGAAGTTGGAATAGTTTCCATACCAAGGACAAAACACGAGGTGCAATCGCAGACATATTTTGAAACTAAATATGTTCGTTTTGCTGAAATGCACTTTTTTAATTCCACAATTACGTTTTAATGACATTCATGCACTTTTGAAAAAGTCAACGTTTCTCATTAATACATCTACACTGTTTATTTCCTGACAAGAAACTTCTGTCAATAATACATGCAATGTGGTCATTACAATTGCACACACACACACTTAAATATGTTAACGGTGCAGCGTCAGTGATGGTGACGTTTCTGGGAATAGATGCAACATTGCTAACTCACTCACTCTCACTTAGTAATACTCGTCAACATACACAAACACACATTCCGCTATTGACATGCAAAGAAGCTTTTGGTTTCCACGCGTTAATCAATGTATGAACGCAAACTTCAGTTGCAAATACTGAGTGATATGTAATATAGCAGACTATTAGTAATGATACTGTTTCGCGAATGCCATTCGGAAAATTCAATTTACTGCATTCCACCTGACTGAACGGTTTATGTGAGTTTCCAATAACGGTGGTTTGATATATGAGAAAATGTACATATATATGCAAGACTTGACGAAATCCCAAACACAGATTAGTATCGTTGCGTATCCAAACATTCACAATGTTTATCAACACTGGTTTTAATAATGTCCATGGTGTCTCTTTTTTCGAAAGTGAACCTGGTATAGTCAGTTTGTTTTCATATATATCGCAGATGGACACGTGTCCCATTCATGCTTGTTGATATGTAACTGCGTTATTGTACCTTCGATGTAGGTATTGTCTGAAGCAATAAAGGATCTGTTCCATTTTAATAGTAGGGACACTCACTTTAGACGCCACATCTAACTCTTCCATGTGACACACTGCCCCGCCTTACTGTTGATGGAATAGGTGAATAAGGATGGGTAACCCTTTTCTATCAAAGTATATACACTTTTTGCTGGTTCAATGTGCGGAAAATGGAAGGTCTATCTCTTCTGCCACTCTTTTGGACGCGACATATAACTCTTCCATGTGACATACTGGCCACCCTAGCTGTTGATGAAACAGGTGAATCAGGATAGGCAACCCTTTTCTATCAATGTATCTAGCTTCCTTTTGCTGCAATACGTGGATAACGAAAGGTCTATCTCTTCTGTCAGGGTACATTCGTTTTCTGTTTACATACGATGTGCATCGGAAAGGGTCGACCTCCACTGTCAGGGTACATTCGTGTTTAGTGGACGTACGATGTGCATCAGAAAGGGTCGACCTCTTCTGTCAGGGTACCTTCGTTTTCTGTTGACGTACGATATGTATCAGAAAGGGTCGACCTCAACTGTCAGGGTACATTCGTGTTCAGTGGACGTACGATGTGCATCAGAAAGGATGGACCTCTTCTGTCAGGGTACCTTCGTGTTCAGTGGACGTACGAAGTGCATCAGAAAGGGTCGACCTCTTCTGTCAGGGTACCTTCGTGTTCAGTGGACGTACGAAGTGCATCAGAAAGGGTCGACCTCTTCTGTCAGGGTACCCTTCGTGTTTCAGTGGACGTACATCAGAAAGTGCATCAGAAAGGGTCGACCTCTTCTGTCAGGGTACCTTCGTGTTCAGTGGACGTACGAGGTGCATCAGAAAGGTTCGACCTCTTCTGTCAGGGTACCTTCGTGTTCAGTGGACGTACGATGTGCATCAGAAAGGGTCGACCTCCACTCAGTCAGGTGTACCTTCGTGTTTAGTGGACGTACGAAGTGCATCAGAAAGGGTCGACCTCCACTGTCAGGGTACCTTCGTGTTCAGTGGACGTACGAAGTGCATCAGAAAGGGTCGACCTCTTCTGTCAGGGTACCTTCGTTTTCTGTTGACGTACGATATGCATCAGAAAGGGTCGACCTCCACTGTCAGGGTACCTTTGTGTTCAGTGGACGTACGAAGTGCATCAAGAAAGGGTCGACCTCTTCTGTCAGGGTACCTCCGTGTTCAGTGGATGTACGAAGTGCATCAGAAAGGGTCGACCTCTTCTGTCAGGGTACCTTCGTTTTCTGTTGACGTACGATATGCATCAGAAAGAGTCGACCTTTGTCAGTAGCTCCGTGGGGGAAATGGTTTTGGTGGTTATGAAATTAATAATCTGCTCCAGTAAGTACGGTGACCAGCACATTTGTCATTGGGTTTCAAATCAATTTACTTAAAATCATCTTTTTGTTTACAGATACCATGGCAACCACAAACTCTACAAAGGCAGAAGACGGTAGGTTCTATACAGACTGTATTTTAACAATATTTTGTTGCTACCAGAATTGTATCCTCATACAATTATTTATGACCGAGTTTACCGTTGTATATAGTTGCCCTACAATCACATGTGTATGACGCACATGTCAACAAGACATGTCACTGTAATTCCAACATTTATTGAAATCTGCAACATGTTTGGATCATGTAGGTCAGGTATTAACCTGCAACCAAAATTCATGGTTCCATTTTCGTTTCATTTGGGGACACTGAACAAAGAAATGAATAAACTGATTCATGTACTAATTGTGTATTTTTAGAGACCACCGACTGTATCGACGTTGCCGTCATCGGCGGCGGTATCGGGGGCGCCTACACGGGATGGAGGCTGAGGGACAGAGGTCTCTCCATCTCAGTGTTCGAGTTCTCGGACCGAGTCGGGGGGAGACTCTTCACTGCCGAGCTGCCTGTCGCCCCGGGGACGTATCTTGATTTCGGGGGGGATGAGGTTTCTGGAGAAGCATAGTATTCTTTTAGATGCAGCAAGTGCGATGGGATTAAAGGTCATTCCATTTGATGTACATGGCGAGAGGGGCCATACTCACTGGTATCTGCGTGAGACACACTTGGGTCAAGCAGATCTGGGAGGATGCAAAACACCTTACAATCTAAACCCAGATGAAAGAAAATCTCCAGAAGCCCTCATACGGTAAGATGAAGGAGAATACATTTGCACATATGGTTCTGCTATGTTTTCAAATGTACAACAACAACCAAGCAATTGAACTAGTTGCCGAAAAACAATTCGCATGCACAATGGAAACTGTGACATTGTTTTTTCATGTTAGCTCACCTTAGCTATGAACTGTTTGTTGGTTGCTGCTTGTGTTTCGACAAATCTAATGACACTGCGTCTGAAACCGCTAGGACAATGGAGATGAAATCGGTATCTTCCATTCTCTCACTTGCTGTTCTAGTCACTGCTGCTTTTGCAAGTCTCATATGTTGGCGTTTTGTTTGACCTTTACTTATTGACTTGTGCAGCGACCCGTGAAGACCCGGCTTAGAACTGGTCTTTAGTAACCCATGCTAAAGGGATCGGGTTGTCAGACTCGCTGACTTGGTTGACACATGTCATCGTATCCCAGTTGCGTAGATCGATGCTCATGATGTTGATTACTGGATTGTGTGATATAGACTAGATTATTTACAGACCGCCGACATATAGCTGGAATATGGTGGGTGGGGCGTTGAACACCCAACCAACCAACCAACCATCTTGTGCAGCCTGGACATTTCCTGGTCAGATATTACTGGACAAGTTATATGTGGGTGTCGTTGTACAAGGTGATCATAACTGTCACACTGTATCTTAGGATTATCTCAGGTGCTTTGTGCAACGGCGCCCTGGGCCTAGATTTTCGAAGCTCTCTTAGCGCTAAGATAGTCGTAAGTTAATATTAATGTATGGCACTTACGACTATCTTAGCGCTAAGAGAGCTTCGAAAACCTAGGCCCTGGTTTCAACCAGTCGTGACCACGGTTTGTTTAATACGTTTCCAGTCCACATTAAGCATGGCCGCCACATCAGCCATATGTATTCCGAATCGTTAACTGAAGTATAAAGTCTAGACCACCATAAACCTGGAAAGATTTACACTGCATTGAGGTTGTGTCATGATAAATAGTGTACCTTTCAAACATAACAGCTGGCAAAGAAATGTACGAAATACATAACACATGAAATAGTAATAATACTGTTTGCAGTATTTGTACTTCTACAAAAAGAATGGATAGATTTGTTATTCATATATAGTGCGTTGTCTCGCACGTAGGGACATCTTCACCAACAACACCAACGTATCCAGCATCAAGTATCCGGACGAGATGTACACGTTGACGACTAATGACGACGTTCCAGTGTACAAGATGAGGTCTGTAGTAGATAATGTAAAATAAACGTTCGGTATACATTAATTGAACATGGTCATGACATGCTCAGAACTGAACGTTCTCTGTGTTGAGCAGAGATTTTCCATGATTATGAAATGTTTTGTCGCTTGTGTTTAAGCACATGTTGTGTAGGATACAATTATTTTTTGCGATTCGTATGTACAAGCAACAACGCCCATTCCACAGATATGTTTGTGCAAAGCAGGACCGCTAGCATAGGCCAGCCTTCATGTATCGCTATCTTAGAGGGATGAACACTTGTTCACGAACAGGTGAGCGTATCCTGCCCCACCGGTTGCTCTCTTAACAAACACATGCAAGGGCAAGGAAATACAGTAACACACGGTACATAAAAGTCAAAATTGGGAGTAGCATCATGCATCATTATTGTCGCTGATGCGTCAAAATAAAAAAATATCCTCCACATTTCTGGGGTCTTGAATGTTGTAACCTTGATGAAGCAACTTCTGTACAAGAGTCGCCCGACCCTCTTTGGAATATCGACAGAAAAATCACGTTCAATTGTACCTCGATGAGAAACTTCTCGATACTGTCGATCGTCATTAATTATTGACACGTATATATTTGCACCAAAAACTCATATCTATATAATTTGCTTTTTTTCAGTCAGTCCGACTTTTATAGCCGTTACGCTACCATGGAGGCATTCCGTTATTTACAAGGAACTATGTACTGGTGCATTGACGAACAACGGACGCCGCTGTTCGGACTGAAATTCGCAAACGAGCCCCCGTCATCTGTTAAAACAATACAGGGTGGAATGGGGAAACTACCCACAACGCTCATGGATAGATTCTTACAAACAAGCAAAAGGTGAATGTTGTATAAAAACTAAAACTTGACAATGCACAAGTGGCAAGATGTATTACCAGTTTTACATTTTGAGAGCGAATTTCACGCCTGTATATGACATTATATTTCTTTCATTCAAAGTGAAGCACAATTGTTTCCCAAATGGCCCCATGTTCAATAACTTAACTGTACTACCAATGACGCTCCAGCCACAATTTCCACCTGAACAGCCAGCTGATGAGGATGGAGAGGACGTATCTCCCAAAGTGGTCAATAAATAAACTGTATTATATTTTAAACTTCAGCCACAGTCTCCGCCTGAACCACCAGCTGGTGAGGATGGAGAGGAGGCAGGCTGGAGGCTACAACCTCAGATTCAGGAAGACCCAGACAAACGATGGTGTCACAACACCTGTTACGGTACCAGGGCAATTTTCACTCAAGCTATCAATTATCATAGAACTCAAATGGGTCGATACCGTCGGCAGTAAGATATAAAACAGCCTTTTACATGTATATCAGAGCAAGAGTGAGTGAGTTTAGGTCTACGCCGTTGTAGCAATATTCCGGCAATATCACGGCCTGGGGACACCAGAAATTGGGCTTCACACACTGTATCCATGTGGGAGAATCGAACTCGGGTCTTCGGCGTGACGTAGCGAACGCGTTAACCACAAGGCTACCCTAAACCCCCACCCCCTTGGTTTCAGAAAGAAAACCCACACGTCAACGTCAAAGAATATTCAGTCTCGATTATCCACAGAAACATATTCCATAGGAAGTAAAGACAAAATATCTGCCAAATCATTTGAATGACTCCAGGTGTCTGTCAACGGTTGACTCAAGAACGTAGTTTTTGTTTATACTATCAGTTGTTTAAACCCTCCTATTGAGGGTTGATCAGATCTTCGCGTCACATAGTGAGTGAGTGAGTTAATATTTAACGTCACATCGTCACATCACGTCACAAGAAAGTCACATAGTGTACGATATGTGTGATAATGAAATGGTGAATAATATATATGATATAATATTTAAATACTGGTCAATAGTGGATATTGGCTAACGGGGGACACTATGTTTTTCAGACGGACGGCAATGAGGTGACGATCTGCGCCAGGAGAGTCATTCTGGCAATTCCAAAGAATTGCTTAGCGAAAGTGGATTTTCCCACGTTCAGAAACAGTCCTGTTATTATGGATTGTATCAACTCTGTGTTTGACTACCCAGCTGGAAAAATATTCCTGGCGTACCCCTACAAGTGGTGGAAGGCCGTTTATCCCGACTCTGGCACAGCCAACAGTGATCTTCCACCCAGATACACACTAGACTGGTTTACTGGAGACAACGGTGTGGCGGTCATACTTGCCTCTTACCACATCGGAGAAACCACTCGATACTGGCGAGAACTGAGTCAGTTCGGGAAACCCATTCCGGGGAGTCTTCCTGGCGCTAACGCTGTTACAGACGTCGTCAAGGACAGAGTTGAGAAGTATCTGAGCCTCATCTACGATGTCAGCCAGTCTGATATTCCAGAGGCTCTTGGTGGCGGTATGATGCTGTGGGATAGCTATCCCTACGAGGCTGCCTTCCACTGCATCAAGCCCGGCTTCAGAGATGATGAGGTTGCTGAAATGATGATGAAGCCATCGCCTTCAGATGACGTGTATGTGGTCAGCAACTCATGGGTAGAGGGGGATCTAGGTTACTGGGCAGAAGGAACTTTACACACTGTTGACAGGGTGCTGGCTAAATATTTCAACGTATAGCACTATCTTCACATTCAGTTCCTTTTCCCAAGGATGGTCAATTGTTAGGTATTTTGTTAATTTGATATTTTCGGTAACCCTTGTTTGCCAGAGAAGCGTCTTCTTTCCTGGTGATGCATTTCGTCCATATTCCCCCTGTGTGAATTGTGTGCTATCGCAATAGTAGCTCATATTGTGCGATGATGTTCAAATGTTGACATTCAAGAAGTAATGTTTTCGTTTCTGATTCATCAACAACTGGTTAGTATATGTAACTGCTAAGTGTAACGCAGCGATACTGTCAGCCTTTAAGTAACAAATTAACATTTATAGAGTTTGAAATTCTTACGTTTTTTTCCATGTATGGTGGATTGCTGAGAGGGGGCTCTATTGTAGAATGTGTTCACTGAAAATTGAAAAGTTGAGGCCAGATGGAGATGAAGTTAATCCTTGTCATGATTTTTCGACTCTATGTTGTGTTTATGATTAGCGCCCTCAGTCTGAAAAGTGCCACGATGCTTGTCATATAAACATATAAGACAGCGGATTTTTCTTTTAATCTTTTCCTCTCTATTAATCTTTTTCAATGTATTTCGCAGCGAGTTCTTCAATCGATCACAGGCAACAAAAGCTCTTCTTGCCTGTAAAATATGCTGACAATATTCAGATGCATTGGAACAAATTGCAGTGTCTGACGTCGAGTAGAGTAGACGTTTTCGAGCTCGGTTGCGCAATCCCACCGACAACTTAACTCGAGTGAATGAGTAATGTTTTACGCCACTTTTAGCAGTATTCGTGCGGTGTTACGGTAAGAGACAAATGAAATGGGTTCCAAACATTGTGCGCATGTGGAGAATCGATCCCAGGGATTCAGTGTGTCGAGCGGACGCTGTAACCACTAGGCCACCCAACTGTCCACCACAGGCTGACCACACAATACAGGTCACCATCTACATATTCAAGTCCGTGTGTGATGTGAGTACACAACGTGTAATGCCGGTGTTTTGTTATAATCCAGGTGACCATCACCTGGCTGTGATAAGTGCCATTTTGAACAGTAGTTCGTCATATCATGTCCTTTTCTGAAATATAATCTACTTACTGTCACATGACATCGGGCAGGATATTATCTGTCTTATTGACTGATTGATTGTTGTTTAACGCCGCACTCAGCAATATTCCAGCTATATGACGGCGGTCTGTAAATAATCGCGTCTGGACCACACAATGCAATGATCAACATCATAAGCATCGATCACGCAAATGGGATACGATAACATGTATCAGGCGAGCCTGACCACCCGATCCTAGTCGCCTCTTACGACAGGCATGGGTTACTGAAGACCTATTCTAATCCGGATCTGTCTCTCTTAGGTGCAGATCATGGGCTGGAACCGTGAACATTGTCCGGTTTAAGATCGTTGATCTGTCACCACCGTATTGGTACGCCTGGAATTCACCAAAATGGTAATGATCTAAGAACTGCATGCCGTGGGGCTTTAAATAGTTGCCGAAATACCATGGTTTAACCAAATGATTGACCAAAGCGTATACCAAACTCAAACAATCGCTTATAATTAACGGATAAACGGACCTGTGTCAGATTGGACTTTAATTCGTCCTACAGCAAAATAGAAAACGCTTGTATTGGCACTTCGCTGGTTTTACTGACCTTTTTGTGACCTGTTCAGTGAAATGTGGGATTGCAAGAGGACAGTGCGGATAAACGAGGCTTACTTGTACAGAAACCTGTCACAGTTCACGATTTGCAAGTGTCAACAGAGTTTTACAGTAGTCACAGATCATATGTCCTTATTCGTACTCTCCAATAGTACTGTGAACTACTTAATGTGGCGGGTTTATCGATGTGTCCAGCAATGTTAGGTCAGCTGACTGTGAAATCCGAACTAACACAGGTTGGCACGTTAATAATGTCGGCAAATCAAGGACCGTATCAAAAGAGAAAATGACCTTGAAATCCATAACCAACACACCAAGGTTAAGGGACATCTGCCTCCACAACGAAAGGATGGTGGTACTCACTAGTCAGTCCCTGAACCATATTACCATACAGCCTGACCCTCTCTGCAAAGCTAAATCCCTAAATGAATCAAGTCCAGATTTCCCCAATCTCGCCCTCCTTTTCAATTTAAATAGGTTTATTTGTTACAATCAAAATTATATATATTCAGAGAGCGTTAGTCTAGGATGATGGCCTAGGACGCGAATTGTGTGTTAGTCGTGTATCCCCCCTGTGTAAAGTTTTACCTGAATGATGAGATTAAGGGCAAACTTGATCGGTATCTCCGTTTCTGACAACATACCACTTCTCCTTGGGTTCCTGAATATTTTTGTGTCTGTTTGAATTGTCTGCTGTCTTCAGAATTTTCTCTACTTGCAACTTATTATTAACGTAGTTTCAGGTTGTACAAAAAGGACATAATGAGCCGTTTGACGTCCGATGACATGTGACCCAACGAAATTGTATACGTCGTCTCTATCAACAAAGCTGGCTTTCCCAGGAGACCTCGCCCGTGTCAGAGACCATTGTGACGCCCCCGGTTACCTTGACAACATAATATTTTATCTTCCCTAATCTCAAGACTCAAACTCCAGTTATTAGTACTTGCAAACCCCAATGGTTGGATGAATGGTGTTGAATGAAAAAACAGTATCTGTCGAAAGAAACACTCGCCAATAAAACACAAAACCTCTAAGGAAAACTATGAGTTTTAAACTTAAACCGTCATGGACTTGTGTTGATATCATTTTATTAAAAATATACCCTCCTAAGATTCTCAAAAATATCAAATTTGATCCCTATTTAATTTGATGAGATTAAAACGATTACAAACACCAAGTCGGTTTGATATAAAATCTTTTAATTAAAAAGTTTGATAATTAACCTTAAAATAAGTTCATTTCATGATTATTACAGATTAAATTTAAATTTAAATTTACTTAAATTCAGTGCGAGACTATACGTGAACTGAATGAATCCTAATGATTACTCATTGGAAGGTTGATAACATGCTTATGATGAGACTCCTGGCGCCACTCTGGCGAGCTTTCAAGTTTGTATACCTGAGTACCAAATGCTGAATCATTATAGATGAATTACAAAATCAGACTTGAGATTAAGCTACTGATTTCACATTACATCTCCATCTTCTCGTTATGTAGTTTACATTCCATGAGATAACCTGGGTAGTAAAGGGTAGTTTAGTAAAGAAAATATATCTATTGCCGTAGAATATTTGAACTTTGTTCCACGTATATTCCTTCAGTGAGTTGCAAAAGGAACAGATAAGTAATAACATATAAAATAAATATAATGACGTAATATGATTAAAACCACCGGAGTACGGGTCCAGCGTTAAACATGGCAGACAGAGTTACCCCCCTTTGTTTGACTTGCTTGTACGTAAAAACGTCTCTGTCCGTCATCAAACCACATATACTGGATTTCATTTCATTTTCATTTTGGCATTTTAAAAAATGGAAAAAATATAAACAGACAAGGCGCATCTATGGTCACCGAAAAGTGTGTTTATATGATTGAGATCGCTGTTTACGGTACAGCTTGCCAAGTTGGTTTGTTTACTGTTATCTGTACCTGTAATACGCTCAGTGATGGAGAAGTGATACATCATCTCGGGAGGTTTAATCAAGTGAAATGTGTTTTGGTGAAATAGTCACCGTGTATAAGTGCATCCGTAAACATGGATTTGTGTTTAGGTATGGTGTAGATGATTATGCTTTTTCGACATGACCACTAGAGGCGAACCGGATTCAGACAGAAACGCAAGGCTGCAGATTTAGGGTTGGAGGTTATCGGCTCAGCACATCCGCACAGAAATGATGTGCTAATAGATCTGAAGTAAGGCTCTTGCACAAAATTATAATTGCCAACATAATTATGGTATGGTGTCAGACCTTTACAAAGTTGTCCTTACTGACATCTCTCTGAATCATATGTCCTGTCATCATCGATAATCTCCAGGGTATACGTTACGATAAATCTCCATTAAACCCTGGATGCATCTACGGCTCGGCCCGATAATTTTATTACCTCCCTTGGCTGGCGTTTTAGTCCATTCAGGTGTCTTCGCTGGGAAATTGATCTTCTTAAATTATCTAACCGATTACACCTGGCAACACAATTGATACAGAGGTACTCTGAAAGAGGTAGAAGGAGTTCTTGCATACATTTTTTTTAAGTTTCAGACCTGTCGATTTGTCTGTATGATTTCCTCAAAATCTGAGTCGCACTGCCAACAGACCTTCGCGACTACGACCGCTATCTTTGTTGACACTGGCAAGCTCTGTTGTAACGGAGGCTTAGCTGACTGGGTACTGTTAGAAGGCGGAGCCAACAAAGGGAGGTAATAAAATTATCGGGCCAAGCCACAGATGCATCCAGGGTACTTCTGGAGATTTATCGGAACAAATACCCTGGAGATTATCGAGGATGATGTCCTGTGTGCATTCCAACAGTGAACATCATCTTGGTCCAGAGGATGGTGCGTCTGCCAGGGGAGACGAGGGTCGATGGTTGACGGCTGATTCAAAGACGTTCAAAGACTGCACTTGTTGTCACCCTGCTCGCGTTCGGCATTAAGTGGATGAGTACGTGAGGGAGTTTAGTTTTACGCCGCCTTTGGCAATATTCCGGCAATATCACGGCGGGGAACACCAGAAATGGGCTTCAAACATTGTAGCCATGTTAATAAATACAAATCAGAATAATCGCGTTAGAAGTTCATTGTCGTAAGAGATTTGTGTTAATGTAAATGTTTATGTAAGATGAAACGTTTTAAATAGATGGACGAAACGAAAATATACAAAGATAAGTGCCTAACAACGCTTATTGTAATTTCATGTCATGGTGGAACTATGATTAGCGTACTAAGTGGAGGTGATTGATTGTGAGATTTATCGTCGAAGATGTATAAGTGGCAAGTTAGCAAATTACGAATTCGAAATGCAACAAATAAAAGCGCACGTAAAATCAACAACACACAATAGAAACACACCCGTTTTTTACAATTTCAATGGGTTGAGTTTTAACAGCGTATTCCGCTCATATCTTCTTAGACGGGAAACACGAGTATACCGTTGACAAACTCAGATACAATAACATTCACGAACTGGGATTCGAACACACGATTGTAATATCTCATGCGGCTTGCTTCTCCAAGGGACGCAACTCTACACATCAAACTGCATCGCCTAAGATGATTTGGTCCTGTTCTTACAACTAAACGTATATCTGATCTGTACATATACCACGTACTAAATAAAATGTATTGTCGACCAGGAACGTTGTTCTAACGAGTAATTCGCCTCTAGACTAGCGTAGAGTCATGTGGAGATGCGGGATTACAGTTCCCTAGCAACGATTCTGGTCGTAAGAGACAACTTCTGGGCCCCGTTCCTCAAAGCGATCGTAGCGCTAAGACTTTGACATAGACTTACGACCGCCGTAGCGCTAAGAAG